AATAATAATAATAATAATAATGAGTATATATATAAAAAATAAATAATGAGAAATTTTGCTTACTTTTGCATACCTATGAAAATGATAGCATTGTTGGGGTTACTTCCCCATTTTTTAATAAAGTTAATTACTGCACCACTTCGCAGGGAAGAATGACCCGCAAAGACAACGCATGGTTCTTGATATATTTCTTGGAGAGAACTATCAGCACGAGCAGCGTAATAGAGTAGATTCCTATCAAACATATCTTTATGAACCATCGGATTCTCTGGAATGTACATACGTAGCTGTCTTTCTTCACACATCCTTAAAATGTCAAAATTCGACACGTCAAACAGTTGTTTGATTGCTTGTATTTATAATATCAAAGATTAAAATTCATACCATTCACCTGAAATAAATGAATACTTGAGCGATTCTTCAGCTATGGGAGAAATTGCATAAAATGGAACACCACCAAGTCCTCTGGAATTTAGATGCCTCCCAAGATAATCCAACACGTCAAACATTATACCATTAAGAGCACATGGAAATAAAACATTTCCCTTATTCGCTAAAACATCCCCTAAAATATAATTTTGATTATAAAAAATACCGAGAATATAGATATAATTACAGAGCTGTAGCAAACCTGCATAATTTCCAATATCACGTAACACAGGTAAAATAGATTCTAATCTGATGTCATCTTCATTACGCGAATCACACAAATCACTCAATATAACAACATCAGCGTCATCCAATACAGTTTTGCTAAATGGTAATGGATGAATATCAGTTATTATGGAAGAAGAGGATATCATCGCAATCTATTAATTATAAATATTTGATATCATTTTTTGAGTATTAAAAGTATAAAAACGTATGATTATAAGAAAAAATATTAAATACTATTATAGTTACCTTTTCGGTATCACAGACTATCGACCAATTAGCGCTACCTAAACAATATCCGGCGCTATGAGCAGTAACTTTAACTCCATATAAATCCTATTATTGTAGTCTGTTAGCAAAAAAATAAAGCGCCAATATAATAATCAGCTAGAATGAATTATACACACAAGATTTTCACCATATCGGACAGGTTGTATTTTATCAACACATGACTGCACATCTGGTATTGTATATAAAGATTGAGCCAAGTTACTTTCAGCAGTGAAACCATAAAATATATTCGGTTTTCTAAAAAGCAATAATATGGTTAAAATGACAAACACTAAATTTTATAAATTTGAAGAATGACAGCAATAATTATAACTCCGTACTCGGTTTTAGCATGCACACGTTGTCGAGAAGAACCCGGAACCGAACTTTCACCAAAAAAATGTACCAACTCTTTCATCATTTGGCTAAAAAAAAAAATATATATATATTAAAAATTTGAAATGAAATATTTTCCTAAAACATACGAAAGGGAGAAATGAAAACACACATTCAACAGTTACCATCCAAATATAACCGTAGGCTCTGTTGCATAAACTTTTCCTTTAAATTCCGAATATTCGGTTATATAAGGTAGCGCAAGCATATTTTTATAATTGGTGATCAATATAAAATCTATAGATTTCCAATCAACGCTCGAAAATACTGGAGTCTCCACGTAGAATTGACCTCGAGCGCGACGTGTGCTTCCATTAGCTGTATCTATGGACGGATCCAATTTTGTACGCTTCGACTCATTCTCAATTATCATAGGATCGGAAGAATTGCTTGGAGCCTCAGTCTCTGCTGCCATTTGGTGGGCACGAGTGCCTAAGTTGTCGCGAGGTGGAAACTTTATTAAGCCAGATACATTAAGGCCGCAATCAATTATGAAATTCATTTGCTTCAACTTAATCAAGAAGCAATTTGATCGAAGGTTTCGGCTTAAAGGGTGCTTTTACGTTTTAATAAAAATAACAAATAGCAATTTAGAGTAATATAACTTAGAATTTCTTTTCATATGGCTTTTAGACTTACCAATTTCATTATTAAACACTTGAAGGCAAAATATATCAAATACTGTTAACTACTGAACAATTTTTATTATAATCGAAGATCAAAGATTTGCTTCTGATTGGCCAATAGGATTTATAGGTTAACAGTTAATATCCCGATTGGCTAATTTAATATCGATGTTCAATAAACTATCGACGCGCTATTCTGACACGTTATTTTTAATAAACGCGTTATGTTATTATCGACAACACATATAAAAAATTTTATGCATGTCTGACACTCGCCTAACCAGAATTATAATTAAGGTTTTTGTAATTTATAGCAATATAGCAATAATTAAAATTTACTTTTTTTTTTGATCAATAAATTCTTTTATTAAACCTATTAGTAAATATAAAGATAGAATATTAAATTAATTTTTCTAATCATTATTTTATTTATCTTACATAATAAAATTTTTTTTTTATTATTAAAGCAATCATTTTGAGTGTTTTTACTTATTTAAAAATTCCATGCTATATATATAGTTATATATATTCAGTATATAAGTTAATTTATCTGTATAGTGGCAACAAAATGATTTAAATTTTTTTTAACAGCTGCCCTACCTTTCGAAAGTGCGTCGAAGGTACTGTACGTCGAATATATTGTACCCGAGTTTGCATAAGGAGAGTATCTTCCTGCATTGCGAATACAAAGTACAAAAGTAAAGTTTCCAAGTATATATATAATTAGAGAGTTGAAAATGCTCACCATATGCAAATCCAGGTCATAATCGACGTACCCTCGACGCACTTTCGATGCACTAAACAAGGTAGGGCAGCTGTTAAAATCGAAAAAGACCTCTGCTGGATCAGTCTCGCTATCATGTTACACCACAATACTGTATAATATCTTAAATTATGTGTGCAGTATATATATAATATTCGCTTATTGATGATTAAAAGTGCGATTTAATATTTCCGTTCCCTGCCGTGTGTTTAATGAGATCTATATAATGAGATCTATATAATGTGATGTGATATAAATATTACATACCCGAAATAACGCCCACCTGCGCGCCAATAATTGATCTGCGCATGTGCGTTTTGTTTATTCGAAATAAGAGTAGATTTTCTAAATCCAATACAATCAACTTTCCATAAATGCACGTTGTTGGGTAAAAGTGCATTTATGGAATATTCACTTTATGGAGCATAACATACGTATACGTATAACGATAATACGTATTAAATAATTATTAAATTATGTGCACTTATCATTATCAGTATAGGGAAAGTGCACTTATAGAGAGTGCACATACGGAGTGTCGACTGTAAATTATTTATTGCAACAATAAATTATGTGCTACATTAGGATGCGTTCTAATTCGGGACGCCCTAATTCAAGAACATATAAGTTATTTTTTGAAGGTCCCAATTTCAAAATAATGCCCACTAGCATTATTTCGCATTTATATGATTATTTGAAAATTTATTAGTTTACACACAGTGTTTATATATAGGCACTAATTTGAATTTATATAATAACTGTATATCTATATATTAAAGTGGAATGTCCGTCCTTCAACATCAGCCAATCAGAGCCCTTTATTTCAGCGATCACCAATCACATTGCATTATATAAGCTCACATGATCGACATTTTTATTATATATTAAAA